ACATCATGTGCGGGATGGAACGAAGCGGTCAATGTTTGAACGCACGAAAACATGTGTCGTGTGGATAGAAACCAAAGATTCCTTTCATAAAGTGCTGGCTGACTTTTAAAGTCGACAGGGCACCGTTTCCAATTCTCCAAATACCGTTTGCGGTTGAAAGTACCGTGAGGGTGAACAAAAAATTGCAAAACAGGCACGGATGCACCATCTAGGTACCGACCGGTAAATCAGCGGCAACAATGCTGCGATACTGACAATTGTTATTGTTTTACCATTCGTGGGTGAATTAAACATATGTGCAAAGCAGAGAACAACAACTGGAAAATTCCTCAGGTATGCCAGCTGCAAACAAAGCTGCGGTATTTCCGCAACACAAAACGCCATGCAGGAACAAAAATCATATATGTCTAGGTACACACACACAAACAAAATGTGTTGACCGCGGGAACGTGTGGCGCACAAAAAGCTACGCACAANACCGGTAAATCAGCGGCAACAATGCTGCGATACTGACAATTGTTATTGTTTTACCATTCGTGGGTGAATTAAACATATGTGCAAAGCAGAGAACAACAACTGGAAAATTCCTCAGGTATGCCAGCTGCAAACAAAGCTGCGGTATTTCCGCAACACAAAACGCCATGCAGGAACAAAAATCATATATGTCTAGGTACACACACACAAACAAAATGTGTTGACCGCGGGAACGTGTGGCGCACAAAAAGCTACGCACAAAACAACTTCGAAAATGTGTACCGCGAACGTGTGGCTCAAAAACCAATGTAAAAAAATTACACGAACGCGGGAGTCTGCGGGTGGCGCAGAAGCCAACCCATAATTGCACGTTTCGAGACCACACGCGGACCGATACCACTGCTGTACGCCAAACCCACGAAGCACACAAACACATTTCTCACTTGGATCGTTCTACCGTGCCGAATGAAGTGCTTGGCTCCTGGTCCTCCGCCACGTCCTCCACCACCAGCTGAGAGGCTTGGCTGGTGGCGCGTGTTGACTCCTCTGCGTGGAAAAAACCCACGAGTACTCGATCCCTACCCCCGCCACCTCTGGGTGAAACTTCGGAGACAACACATGAACGTCTTCTCCCACTGGTCTGTGGCTGCGGGGAAGCGACTGGAAGCCATGCTGTCGCTCTCTGCACGGTGCTGCGCAACAGCAATGTGTGCTGCTGCTTTGTTTCTTTTTTCAAAAATCCCTAACTCCGCCGCAAGAAAAAACGTTTCAATTTTTTTTGAGCGACTCTAAAACCTACATGAATTGGGGGTGATATCTTCCGTTTTGAGAGAACGTCGACAATCAGCTGTTTGCTAACACGTGCGTACCCGCCTTGGTTGGGCGATTCGGGGGATATGCCGAACGCAGCTCAATTCTTTTTCCTTGATAAGCTATGGCGTGACTAACGCAAGTTGGTTTCTTGGCTGGACCAGCTTGTACAGTCGACCCCGGACGCACATGGTTTTTCCCGGAGAAAGGCGTCGTTGAGGCGGGGTTGCGTCCTTAAAATGCAGGGGACGATAGCTCACCATCCCCGGGGCCAAATGGAGCATGCTACCTCAAACTACGAGTCTTTTGCTAAGGAAGGGTGCGGTACGAAAAGTCAGCATCGCCGAGACGACTGGCACGTCGAACATATTTACAATGCTTGAAATGAGATGTACAGCAGTCGGGGACGTGTTCAAAACAACTACAGTACACCAGTTTGTACTTGGCCAACTTATGTACTGCATGGCCGGCAGCGGAAGAAGGAGGAAAGTCGAAGTGGACATATATATATATATATATCATTCTTGTGAAACCAAAAAAAGACGAGCGTATTTCAGCGTCGCACCGAGGAACACCAGTTAATATAACTGTCCCGGCGGAGACCAAAAGCTACCCTGACGGCTTTTCCCTCCACATATCGCGAAGAATTTCCTGAACCTCCCCCCCACGGCTTGGCTCTACGGCTCTGTTGAGTTTCATGAGTAAACGAATGAACGGTCGTCGAAAGAAGGTACTGCGTCTCACGGTACTGGCCACCCTTTCCCTTTGCGTACAAATATGCATAGGATCGAACGTCCTCCGAGCGAGAGATAACCTCGCCCTCGGTGAGGGACGAGGTTATGCACGACTTTTTTTTTTTGGCGGCATCAGGTGGACCGCCGGTAGATGGGAGAAATCTATCCATACCAACACCCAGTTACAGCCGCAGCAGCAGCCCCCTCGCTACCACTTCTGCTGTCTGTGCGTCGCTACTTCTGCACTCACTGTGGTGCGTGCAAAGAGCGGCCCGCAGGACACAAAAAGGGGGGTACGCGGCATAAAAAACGGGGGTACCCCATTATCGTACATTCTGCCGGGCCCCCTGGTGCTCAACAAAATAGTTTCCTCAAAGCGGGGAGATTACTTAACGATAGCGTCCTTAAAGCGGGGTCGACTGCAGGATTTTCATGTCGGAGATTCCGGAGATTGATGCCTATTTTCGAACGACTTGTGGACGACTTCTAGACTCCCGAGCCTGAAGTGCAGTATTGCATGCGGAGGATGTGCGTTTGCTGTGGTGGTGTGCCCTGCTGCAAACCATGATATACATTACCTCACCTTCGAAATATACCCGCCCCTTCCTCCCCTGCTCACTCGAATCTGTCCCATGGGGACCCGCGGGCGTCAGGCCGACCCGAACAACGTCGACCTCCATGAAGGCCTGGCGGCGCTCTGCGTCGACTCCGGCAATCCCGAAGAGGCTGCCGCTCTCTACCGCCGCCTCCTCGGGCTGCACGCGACTGCAACAGCAGAGGGGAGTGGAAGAATACGAAGCTTTTCCTCGTCGAACCCTTCCGCAGCAGGTGATCTCTCCTCGAAGGAGACGACAGAAGCGGCGGCCGCGGCTCGAAAGGACCGGTGGTCAGTGGCGCTCTTCAAGTGCAACGCTTCGCTCTGCCAGTGGGATGACTGGAACGGCGAGGCTCTCGCCCTGAGGACTGCCGTTCGGCGTCGGGGGTGGCGGCGGCGAGGGCGAACAAGAGGAGAAGGGTCTGGGGGGCGGTTGTCGTCGATGGAGGACGATGGCGATCTGGTACACAGACTGTTGCTCGGATACGAAGACGACGACTTCGAACGGTTTGTGCCTCGAGACAAGCAGCAAAGCCAGGGCAACAATGTTGGTGACAGCAACAACGGTGGCGTTGATGGAGGCGCCGGCGCTGGCCCATCGCGACCAGCCCTACACCCTTTCGACTCTCTGAGCGCTCCTCTGTCCATCGGCGACTGCCTTGCAGTCGCGCAGCAGCAGACCAGAGGGGTGCTGGCAGAGGCAAGGGGCGGTGATGGCGGGCCTCGAGGCAGAGACGAGGACGAAAGAACATCGGGCGGAGAAGGCGTGGGGGGGGTGCAGGGCCAATCGCTGCGGCGGTTGTTTCATGCCGGTTTCTCGTCGCCATCATCGTCGTCATCGTTGCGAGATGAGAGGGGACGCGTGCGCCTTGGGTACGTGAGCGGAGACCTGATGGGGACGCACCCCCTGACGCACCTCATGCAGGCGAGGGCGGGAGGACGCACGCCAAGGCGGGGCGGGGCGACCAAGTAGAGTGGTGAACAAGATAGGGAGTGGCCTCGGCCAGAGCAAATAAAATAAGAGCTGCCGCGTAAGGCGGTTTGGTGTTTCGTGGTGTTTTTTACGTGCGGGGCAGGCAACACAGAATTTATTAGCTTCGTGTAGCTGATGGAACGTTCGACGGCTGCGGAAGTGTTTTCGTTGCTTGTGGTGCTGCGGCTGATGAGGCAACTGGCAAGGATGATCGTGGTTTCCGGTCGCACGAGAGCTGCGAGAGAGATTCGACGGAAATCATTCGAATTCGGCGTTTTAAGCGCTTTCGACACACGCGCACACGTGGTACATGTATCGGCACAAGCACCAATTCTGCGTTCATCCTGTACACAAAAACTATCAAGGCCAACATTGTTTGTAAAGTCTCGTCTACATCCTTTTTCACGCACCGACAACAGAGCACCTTTGGGATGCACGATCGTGACAGCTTCGAGGTATTCCTGTACGCTCTCAACCCCGACGACGGCTCGGCGCCGAGGCGGCGTATGGAAAGGGAGGTGGAGAACTTCCGAGACCTGAGCATGATGACCGCCGGAGAGGCTGCCGCGGCAATCGCGGACGATGGGTGAGAAACAAGAATGAAAATGACCGAATTGGGTGGAACATGAGCCAAAAGAGTACCGTTCGGTCCTTTTTTTTTTATATATCCTCGTGTACGACAAACGTGCATTCGTGGCGTCCGCTATCAGAAAGTATAGGCATGTTCGATATTTTTCGCATGTCAGGTTCCCCGCAGGGCTGTAGATGTGTTCTTGGTGGCAGAGAACATTCTCTAAAGTAAAAGTCCGGCTTCGAACGGTGACGTTGATTGGTAGCTGCTGCTGCTCTGCGATGCGGCCTGGCGTTCCACTACTGTCAGGGCCGGTTTCTCCTACCGAGAGAAATAGAAGAGAAAAAAACTATGCGATCGTCCACAAGCCTCTCAGTCTCTGGCCGCTGTCCGAGTGCACGCCTCTCCCCTCACACACACACTCGCTTATAGGGTCCCAGCTTATTGTTTATAGGAAGCACTTCTGTCTCTTCAACTCATTCAGACTGACGTCTTTGCATTGATCAGCGGACTAGCGCGGTCGATCCTAATCATGAAAAAAACACACACACACAAGCTGGAACCCGAATTGCCAAACCCCTATCAGGGTTGGTGTCCTCGTGAACCTCGGTGGCTACGCCGGAACCGTCAAGAGCGCGGACATCTTCGCTCTGCGCCCCGCCGCGGTAGCCGTGAGCTACATGGGTTTCCCCGGAACCATGGGCTCTTCCGAGATGGTGGACTACATTCTCGCCGACGCGGTGGTTGTTCCGCCTGACTTGAGGCGTTTTTATTCCGAGAAGGTGATCAACAGCTGCCTGGTGGTGATTTCTTGACGCCTCGGGTCCGTTGTTGCGGAGGGATGGCTTTGCTTCCCGCATCCGTCGTTTGCTGAGCGAACGTCCCAAACCCGTCGTTTTTGCTGAGCGAGCGTGAGAGCTGATGTGTTTCGTGGCGAAGCGTTCTTGCGGTTGTTGGACTGCAGTTGCTGTGCTGCTGCACCACACTATTCATGGAGAGGAAGTGCACACGGGCTAATTCGGTACATTCTGTAGAGGGGTGGCATCTCAAAAGACCGCAGGAAAAGAGTTTACGTGTATCGCGCCACGCTACCGTCTTCTCGCCACCAAGCTTGGCTGTTGCGCCAGGGTCTTCCCGTGCTTTGTTGGACCAACAAAAGCGTTGAAGCCTCTTTTGCCGCGTCGCGACCATTGCCCCCCCCGGGCCGTCCCCCCCCCTCCTACAGGTGCTGGACTTGCCTCACTGCTACTTCGTCAACGACTACCGGCAGAGCGAGCGGGGGGTGATATATTCTCCCGCCCCCGATCGGGCGGACCACGGCCTATCTCTACCGCCATCGCCTCGATGGCCGCTGCCGCTGGCAACGAAAGAAGACAGAGAGGGCGGCGGCATCCTTTCCGCAGCGGCAGCAACGTCAGGGGCAGCACCGCTCGTAAAGGACGGCCGCGACGACGGCGTGGGTGGCCGTTCCCGGCGTGCATCGCACCGCCGCCGAGATGGCAGTGGTCGGGGCGGCGGTCACAACGGCGAACGTGCTGCGGCGTGGTCTCCCGTTCCCGGAAGGTGGCGGCGCGGCGGCGCCCGCGGCGGCTGGGGAGCCATGAAGGGACGAGGTGCTTTGGAGAATGTCTCGCGAGAGCGGGAGGGAGAAGGCGACGGGCGGCGGGTAGTGCTGTGCAACTTCAACCGTCTCCACAAGCTTGATCCGCACACTTTTGGCGCCTGGATGGAGGTAAGCGCGCATGCGAAAGAGTGACAGCGGATCGATGTGCGGCAAACTCACGCACCGAATCTTGAGCTCTACCAGTCATTTTGACTCCCCGTCGAGTGTTGCCTTCTCGCACTGCAACCAGCACCGACAATCACGTGCCAATACGCCTCTTCCCACGAATCGTGCCCCCTCTTCCTCTTGCCCCTCCCCCACCGGTACCCGCAGGTTCTCAGAACGGTTCCCGGAACGGTCTTGTGGTTGATCGACGGAGGTGAGACGGCCCGCGCCAACCTCCGACGGCAGGCCAGGCTCGAGGGGGTGGACGAAGGGCGCGTTGTGTTTGCGCCCCTGGTTGGAAAAAAGGAGCACCTCCAGAGGCTCCGTCTAGCCGATCTGTTCGTGGACACTCCGGTGAGATTGGGGGGACTGGCGGGCATCTTTGTTGCTCGTCTTGGTGGTTGGGCCCTGTCGCCATGCCATCGTTTGTTGTTGACGGAGGGAGGGAGATCCCTTCGTTCGAGGCCGCGATGAACGCTCTGCTCTGCTTTTGCGCCTCCTGCGCCTACGAAGCCATAGCGCTCCCTGGGCATTCCCGCCGGCTACAGGGCGGTGCACGTCTCGTCATTGTTGGATCACCTACCAATGAGTTTCTTGCGAGACTAGGCGCCACCAACAGGACCGAAGACAGAATCGAGCTCTAGCAAGATCGACGGCCCCCCTTTGCATTCAGAGGCATCGAGGAAGCGATTTCCGCATTTTCTCATGTTTCATTCGGGTTTTTGACACCTGCCCCCGCCCCCTCCGTGTCCCACCTGGAATACGACCCCCCCTTGTTCTATCTAGCTTTACAACGCCCACACCGTGGGTTGCGACGCCCTATGGGCCGGGGTGCCGATGGTGACCCTGCGAGGTGCCAAGATGGCATCGAGGGTCGGGGCTTCCCTTGTGGAAGCCGCGGGGATGCCCGAGCTGGTGACGGACTCGCTGGAGGAGTACACCCAGCTCGTGCTGGCGTTGGCGAGGTACGGCAGGAACTTGTGGGTGGAAAGGGCGGCGGTATTTTCGGCGATAAATCCCTGCCTCAGCACACACCTCGAGCTTGATTGATTTTTTATTGGTTCGCGTACAGAAACGGGGCTGGTGGTTTTGCATGGAGATGATTGGCGCAGAGAATCGGTGCTGGTGGTGTTTGCATGGAGAGGGACGATGTCGGAGATGCACATCAGTCCTTGATGCGATGTTTTTTGTGTCAACAGCAGCAGTGAGTGGTGTGGGCTCGGCGGGGAGTTGTTTCATGGCACTGGGGATGGACTGCAAGATCGGCGAACAACAGCGACCCTCGTACTATCCTTGGGTGATTCCGTTTCATTCATCACACCCCCGTTGCCGATGGCCTAGACACCGGTGTCGCCGTCCACCCTCTGCCACTCCAAAATCCCCCCCCGCGCGCGGGAAGCGACGCGAGGAATCTGACATGGCAGTATCACATGTGCGGGATGGGAGAGGAGAGGTTGCCGAAAATTGTATGGGAGGCGAAGTGGGCAAACAAGAAGCGGGGTAGACAACCAACGGAATGGGTCAAGGTTGTAGAGGACGTATGGAAGGGGCTCGACATCGACGAAGATGAAACGCTGGAAACGGAGGGTCTACAGGGGTTCAAGGAGAAGATATCTGTTGCTTGTGCCGAGAGAGAAGAACAGAATCTGAGGAAAGAATCCAAGGATAAGGAGGGTCTAGAAGTGTACGGAATGTTGAAGGAAGGAATAGGGTTCAAGGACTACCTAAAAGGACCAATGGATGCAGGAACAAAGCTTAAGGTCAAATTCAGGACCGGNGATGTTGCTTGTGCCGAGAGAGAACAGAAACTAAAGAAAGAAACCAAGGATAAGGAGGGTCTAGAAGTGTACGGAATGCTGAAGGAAGGAATAGGGTTCAAGGACTACCTACATGGACCAATGGATGCAGGAACAAAGCTTAAGGTCAAATTCAGGACCGGGGACATAGGCCTTCGAAAACGTCGACGAAGACATAGGACGGTAGACGAGGGAGACGACGAGTTCAAATGTGATTGCGACTTCGAATGCTTAGACCGTGTTCATGTAGTCGCGGAATGTCCGTGGTACAAGAAGGAGAGGGAAGTGTACGTGACTGAGCTGGGAAAATAGATGGGACGTACAGGGAGATGTTTGAGGCATGGAATAGAGAGGAAAGGACGGTAGTTGTACTGGGGCGTTGGAGGTGGGTTGAAAGAGCGGGAAGGGATATCGTTAGGATAGACAGACTAGGGAAGACACTTTGAACCACCTTTGGCAAGTAGAAAGGACCGATTGACCATCGATGATCGGTCCTGTGGGAACAATGCTCCGTCCTCTCGAGGACGCGTGGTCAATGGTCTAACCGCTAAG